ACGGAATGAGGAGGGAATCAGAGGAAGCTGATTAACGCCGGCGTGCTGTTCGAGGCACTTGTTCGCCAACTCATTTCAGGGTCCGCCCGGCCTCGAGTGGGAGATATGGGGAAGGGGCAGTGTTCGGGGGGCTGGAGAGGGGGGTCACTCTCGATGAAATCTCATCAAAAGGTTGTTGATTTATACCAGAGAAGGCGGGGCGGGGGGGAAACTGCCTCATGGCCACTCTTTCTTCTGCATGCGGGAATTTTAAAACTCAACAGAGACTGGAAATGGCAAAAAAAAAAAAAAAATGTTCTGTAATTTAGAAGGGAAAAATGGAGGCACTCTGAGGGGTTAGGAAAAGCATTACTGTAGTGAAGCGAACGCCGGAAATATCCGGAATCGCCTCGCTTTGGATTTCAGTGAAACCGTAAGAGAAACAGAGAGAGGAATAGAGTGGAGAGACCAGAAAAAAATAGAAAAATAATCCAATCAGGGTGCATTATTTCCTCCACCCTGTACACTCACCCTGAACCTGGGGCTCTGCCCTGCTGTTTCTCGACGTGAAAAAACATTGAACGGAAAGAGGGAAAAATATAGGAGAGAGCTCTGTCTCTCTTCCTGTGCACTCGCGCCGCTGTAATAGTATCATTACAGATGTGTGCGCTGCACGAGGCCAAAGAGTTAATCCGCATGCGCTTCATTTCTGGGGACGTCTCGGAGAACGGGGGGAATAAGATTGTATTTCTCAGGACTTGTCGGCAGACGTATACGTCTTTTCTTGAATTTGGGGCGCCCATAACTCATGTGCACGATTGGGATGGGCTGTCCCATTGTACTCAGGGTGGAGAGATGGAGTCCAACCATAAGCATAACTCTCGGCGGTGTGGTTGGCTCGCAGTAGTTCATCATTAAAGCGATGGTTCTTACGGGTGTCATCCTGGAAATGCACCGACCCTTCCCGTGCGGTGTAGATTACTCGGGAAAACCACTATGATGAGAACGGGCTCGCTGGCAACTGTTCCCCTGCAACACCGCCACTGCCGGGAAATTATTGTTGTTTTTAAATCCGGCGTTAATCAGAAATGTTCCTGGCACATTCTTTTATTCAACACACCTATCTGATGGAAGGGGATGTTCATCTAATTAGGCCATTCTAATAACACACGTTTGGAACGATTCCAATTACATATCCTGCTGCGTCGGCAGGAATAAAGGCATACAGTAAGTTCCTGTATCATCTGGGGCGTTTTATTACGCTGGGCTGGTCTCGTTACGATGCCGTATCTCCAACCTTATCTGCTAAAAACACTCCCCCACAGACTCCGATTCATGTCTTCAGATTGAATTATATTTATCTATCCTCATTTGAAGATTCTTAATCAAAAGTTCGATCAAACGAAATGATCACACTTGGCCTCTTTCATTTTGAAGCTCATCGCCGTGGACTTCAAAATGAACGTGTCACAAAGATCGAAAACAGTGGGCGAGAGTTGCGTTTACTTCTCACGCTCATTAACTGACAGGACATTGCAGTTACATGAACACTGGGCCCCAGGAAACGATCGCAAACGTTGTTCAATTTCTCCGCGGTAGATTGTTTTGCTGTGCCGATCACGCTCTCTTTGTGCTCACCTCAACACGCACCTTTATTTTTCTTCTGAAATACAGACGCCTCCTCTTGTTCTATTATGGGGAGGTTGTTTGCGAGGAAAATTGTTTTAGTGGTCGGGCGCAGCTACACAAATACCACAGAGGTAACAAGATGTTTGACTTTGTGTATGATTCACACTGGAGCTGTATGACCTGCAGGCGGAATTCAGCATTCCACACAGCAGTGCTGTTTCTCAACTTATTTTTCTGACTTTGCAAGATGTACTGTATGGTGTGTGTGTGTGTGTGTGTGTGTGTGTGTGTGTGGGTGTGCGGGTGTCTGTGTGTGTACATGTTTATGTGCGTGTGTGTGCATGACCTGTGAATTTTGTCTGTATATGTATGCAAATGTGTGTATGCTTGTGCGTGCATGTGTGGCTGTGTTTTTGTGTGTGTGTGTGTGTGTGTGCATGACGTGTGAGTTTTGTATGTATGCATGCAAATATGTGTATGCGGGCTTACTTTTGTGTATGTGTGTGTGTGTGTGTATGTGCATGGTGCGTGAGTTTTGTGTGTGTGTGTGTGTGTGTGCATGCAAATGTGTCTGTATGCGTGTATTTGAATGTGTGTCTGTGTTGTGAGTGTGTGTGAGCATGCATGTGTTTGCACATGTTTACATTGTGTGTGTCCATCTTTCTGATTGCACATGTGTCTGCATTGTGAGTGTGTTTGTGTGCGTGTGTGTGTGTATTTGCATGTGTTTATGTTTGTGTTTGTGAGAGTGCGTGCATGCGCGTGTGTGTATGCGTGTGTTTGTGTGTGTGTGTGTGTGTGTGTATGTTTCTTTGTGTTTCATTGAGTCTGAACTCAGCTGAGTGCAGTAAATGACATTTTTGTCTGCAAAGTCGTGACAACAATCCCCTGCCGCTGGGCAAAGTCATCTCCCATTGTTTCAGAGCCGTTTTCTCCGGGTGTACACACATCATTTTTTTTGTCAAACTGAAATGTATTGCTCATGTCACAATGAAAATAAATACTCTGTAATTTCACACTGGAGTCCTGTCATGGATGAATGATTTGCAGTAAATTGACTTCACCTTTTCATGTTACTTAAGTAATTTAGAAACATGTAACATTTCCATAACTGTGCCATAATGAAAAATACTGTCAATATGAAACATATGTCATATGGAATTGGATTTCTTGCAGAAATTGCTGAGTTAACGCCGCACAGTTATATGTATACATTACAAATAAATAAATACATTCTGTGTCATTTATCATTTAAACTTTAATACATGTGTGTTGTGCTTGGGGCTGTCATTTTTTCTCTTAATTATGGTGGACATGACAGACACGAGAAAGGAACAATGATGACAATGATATGTGGTATGAAAATATTAATACGTGGTCATATACCCATTCATCACCCTTTTATCTGTGTGAATGTATATGTCTTATATGCCTTATGAAGTGTTTATAAACATGTAATAAGCTCAGATGTGACCAGAGATTGTTCTTCCACTGTATTCACATTCTACATTGTATGAAAACAAAGGAAGTTACAGAATTCTGGGGATTAAACAATCTTTTCTCTGGGTGTAAGAGGAATGGACATCATAGTCTTCCTGAATTAAAAGAGTCATTTTAAATTGACAAGTCTTGTCAGCTAATTTGAGAATGAGCTACTATTCTCTTTGTGGAGTGATGTGAAAAATGTTCTGAGGTGAAGCGATGTGTCACCTATAATATTGGTCATTATTTGGACATTTTTATCCATAGAATGTGTGAAGCTACCATTTTACAATGCCATTTAATAACCTAGAGGTGGTAAACCATGCTCTGCAGACCTGCTGGGTAGTACTTGTTTTCACCAACCAGGTGAGGTGATTTAACAGTAATAAACTGCTTCAATTTATCAATTAACAAAAATGAAACTATAAAAACGAGCGGTGTGGCTCTCCTCAGTGTGGGTTGGACCCCCTTGTATTAAACAGCTATATTTAGCCTCAATCATCTCACTGCGTCTTTTCCCCTCTCCAGTTAGTCATGTTTAATTCCCCTGCACTGTGTAGTTGGCGTATTTTCTAAGGTGCCCTCTCTGTTTTCTCCTGGGTGGATTTGTGTTAGAATTTTCAATCCATCCTGCAACATGCTGTCAGTGTTTCCGTTGCATACCTATATATTAAAAATAGCCTGCACCCTGAACTTTGTAAGATTATCACTTCGGAAAGTGCATTGCCGCTTTTAAACATTATTCTATTAAAAAATGAATTACTAATTTGTGGTTCGGGAACTATTGACCTATTGAGCTTGCCTCGTAAGCTTATAAAATGTAAATTGCTGAGGCGGCGCGGTTGGTCGTTGGATCCCATCCATCGAAAATTGGCTTTTCTCTGGTACACGGCGGTCCTCTCTCATCATATAAATTATTTGATGAGAATGCAGGGCCTGGTATTTAGTAAAACGGTTTGCTCATCATAAACACAACAGTTTTATCTCGCAGGGATAAATTCCCCTACCGTAAAACTGCAAACTTTAAACGCCGAGCTCGATAATGAGTTGCGGGAAACTTCATTCACAAAATCGGCGGATTTATGACCTCGTATTGTCCGAAAGCTGTAGTTGTAAACCACGTGAATGAATACGCCTGACAAATAAAATAGCCAGAGAATAATCGTTTGATGGTTAGATGCTACCTCTTATATTTCCTGCTCACGAACACCAGCGGGCGGCTAAAGTAGCAGTGAGTGGTGCTGATGCCTCACAGTTACAGCCAGCGGGTCTTGGGTTTGAATCCAGCCCGGGCCCTTTCTGTATGGAGGTTGCATATTCTTTTATGTTACTTTGGTTTTCTCCCAAAATCCAAAGCCTGCCATGTTAGGCTCATTGGAGACCCAAATTTGCCAGTCGCTGTATGTGTCTGCTCCCCCTGATAGGTTGGTGAATAGTCCAGGATATTTTCCTGCCTCTAGTTGCAACACGAGGCTTCCAGAAAATCTGGTCATGGAGCCATTTTGTTTCCATCATGTTATTGAGAATCAAAATGAATTAATTTTTTTTTTCCTGTTTTCTTTTTTTTTTTTTTTTACGTCCAAACATTTTTCCTTATTATACTTGACGATTCCATTGCTGGCTGGTTCATTGTTTTTCCGCTGAAATTAATCAGTTTCCTGAGAAAAAAAAGAAAACATCCAGCGATTTACATTATGAGCAATGGAGACCTGTGGAATCCTATTCTTGAGTTGTTGCATCTCTTTATTTATGGAATCTACCGGCCTCCCCCATTGCATTCTGGGATAAAGCACAGCCCTCTGTAGACACTGACCAGGAATAATCTAAGAGACACTCTTTTCTATGCTAATGTGGGTTTTTAGTGCCAGGATACAGCAGAAATATTAAAATCATCTTCAGAATTTATGGGCGCATTGGTGGTGTAGGTGTGGAATTCTTGCCTGCAATGCAGGAGGTTGGGCTCGATTCCCAGCCAATGCAACTTCTTCAGTGTTTAATAAGTCCTTCGGGGAATTAGAGATTTACCTGCAGTGATGTAACAATGTATTTAATATCACGCTACATATATCTGTCAATGGAATTATGGGACTGCAAAGCTAAACCACGGCAGGTGTGCCTAACAGAGACTTCACCTGGTTCACAATCAATGGAATAAACCAAAAGCCGGACTTGAGCTCATTCAATCCTAAAGGTGTGGCTTTTTTATGCACTTAGACTAGGCATTTTGTCTATCAGGTTAAGACCACAGATGAGACCTTTACAAAACATTTAAAAACTATGAAATCCATTCCAAAACCAGGCATCAGGCAAATCAATCTTTCTCCACCATTAGTCTGTGTGTGCTTCTCTGACACAAGTAGTTCATGTTTTGTTCCACAGCGTTATGAATTATCTTGGATTTTACATTGCGGATTACCCAGGGCACATTATTGTAGCATAACCTACCATAATGAAGAGGACCAGACATTCACCACAATCAGAATCACAATTTTCTTTACACTGAAGGATAACTAGCGTTCACCGTTTACCGACAAAATATACAGTCTAACTCCATAACAAGCCTGATCTTTATGACCCCCAGAGTTTCTGAGCTGGTTATTCGTTCCACACAAGCCCTACTCCCTGTGAAAAATACCTCTGAATGTCTGCAGAATATTTTCCATTATTTGCCCGCTCGCTCTAACACTCATACACTGCAAGACAGCCAAACGCTTGGCGAAATGATTCGGGGGAATGTGCCCTGCCCAAGGGAAACTAGCCCACTGGGAATTGAACTTGCAACCTCAGAGTGCAGGTTGGTTCTCTACCCATTACACCATTTCCTGGTCTCATGGGCTACAGAGAGCTTAATCTCTGCCAGACTTGTCAAATAAAGGTTAGATTAAACAAAAGGAACAAGAAAAAACCCTCGCATCTTTCTAAGTCGCTGAGGCATATGGGCTGGCTGGGATTTTATTAATCGCTGTAAATACGGTGGGGGAGTACAGGGGACATTTTCTTATTTTCCGAGACGCGGACGAGCTCGCTGCTGGTGCAGTTCTCCTGGACCGTTGTCTTCTAGCAGACGAGAATTCTGGGTCCTTTAAAAGAGTATTGCTCTGTCACCCTCCCCCTTTTTTTTTTAATAAAACAAATTCAATTTTCGTGGCCCCTCTGTAGCAGTGGGCTCCAGAGCCCCGAGCAGTGGACCCTCAGAATTGCCATCGCCTTTCGTTTAGCTAGCGCCGGCCCGGCTCTCAGGCGAGAGCGTTTTCATAACTTTGCGTGAAACAATTTGGCCTTCAGTCTGAATAGGCGTCTCTCACTCGCTATCGCTGGGAATGTAAGGCCCTGCGTGACCCTGCGGTAATGAACTGCTCTTTAGAAAATGTATCTCTGCAAGAGAAGTTATCTTTTAAATAGCTTCCTCTGCATTGCATTTTAACTGCATTTTTAAACCTGGAAATAAATTACTTTTACACAGAGAGAAGGAGAGAGAGAGAGAGAGAGAGAGAGGTGAGGAGGAGAGAGAGAGAAAATTGATAGGAGAAATTTCGAAACAGGTGCATTGCCGATAGTCAAAAACATGACATCTGGTAATTCAATTAGCCAGATAAGTAAGCAATCGTCCAGAACAACAAGCTTGATAGACAGTGGCGGACAGAGGTATTAGTGATATGACAGCTGGACAAAAATGAAAAGCCCAGTTCAGTGATGTATCTGGAGTGAGAACCATGTTTGGACAGATGCAATCAGTCTGGGTTCAAGGAAGTTATGGCCAGTTGTGCTGGCTATGCCTTGTTTCTGTACGTTTTTTGTATTTTACAAATACAACTAGAGGCACGCGTAGAGTGCAAACCTCCACCAAGGCAGCACAGTCCAAATCTTCATGAGTGGGAGCAAAGTTGAGCTATCGCGTGTCATACGATTTCAAGATGGCTGCCGTGGCGGCCATATTGTTTCACTGATCGCGGTGAAAATCAATAGGGTCCTTCCTTGATATAATAGCAATGCACCCACAGAATTTCAGACAAATCCGTGCATTATGTTTTGGAGTTATGTTGTTCACAAACAGACAGACAGACAGACAAACAATCAAACAAACAAACAAACAAATGGGCAAAAACATAACCTCCGCCCCAACTTTGTTGGCGGAGGTAAAAATTCACTCCCAAAAACCAAAGCTACATACATCTCTTGCAAAAGCAAACGCCGCATCCTAAAGGATGTTATTAATTCATCCATCCATTCTCTATATCGCTTCTTCTTCACTAAGGCCATGGGGTCCTGGAGCCTATCCTCGCTGATTACGGGCGAAAGGCAGGGACCCACCCTGGACAGCTCGCCAATCCATCGCTGGGCGCACACACCATCCACTCACACACTCATACCTTTGGGCAATCGAGAGTCTCCAATTAGCCTGACATGCATGTCTTTGGATTGTGGGAAAAAACTGCAGAACCTGGAGGAAACCCAAGTGAAGGCAGGGACTCCGCACTGAAAGGCCCCAGGCTAGATTCGAACCCACGACTTTCTTACTGTAAAGCAATAATGCTGACTACTGTGTCTGTTTTTGTGTAGAACTGGCATAAAATAACATCTATGAGTTTCAGGCTTTCGTCATAGTTTCTCAAGTTCCTGTGTTAGTGCTAAAAAAAAAAAAATTAGTAAAACTGTCATTTACACCTTGTTCTTTGCATTGACTGATATTGGAATAAACAGTATTTCTGACCTTGGCACTGAATCCTAATGCAGGTGGTTTAAGTGAAACAGAGCAGGCCTTAAGTACTGATGTCAGACATAAACAAACTCCACCAGCCTGTGGTTCATCATTAACCCTTTGAGCACTGAATACATTTTCAAATGTAATTATCCTGAGCTGTTGAAAACCTATCATGTGGCAACTTGTTTAAAAGAACTCCCGCAGGGGAGCTCTTTTAAACAAGTTGCCACATGATAGGTTTTCAACAGCGTCTGACTTGGATATCTTACATCATTGGGCAAAGAAAGTTGCCCACGGCGCTGAAAGGGTTAAACTAACGCAGCTGAGACTATGGTTCAGGTTACAGGTCTGTCCTGAAACTATTTCCTGGAGCTTGTGTCCTAGCTGTGAGCTGTCGTGCGTTCTTTGGGAGCTGTGTAACACCTTGATCTGATGGCGTTCCACAGGAAAGGGGCATGACTGTAGTTCTGTTAGGACCACTTTGTCAAAAAGAAAATTTATTGAAAGCACACAGGCATATAAGCATACAAGCATACTTTGGGTTTGGCGACATGGCTCTGTTCTGAGAGATCCCTGCCCGTCCAAGCGTGGAACCGAAGGCAGGGAGCTGCTACTAACCCCCCCAATAGAACAGAGCCTACAGCAACAATGACCTCAAAAGGAATAGACATTGTTTTTTGAACGGTAACTTAGTCACAAGAGAACATAATCAATGCATGCTGTAAAAGACAGGTGGAGCTGGGGTGGAGGAGGGTTGTTGAGCTAGCGTGCCAAGGAACAGCTACACAGGAAGGCAAACTTAAATAAGCCCAACATATTACCGGCCAAGCAATCATGTGACAAGCAAAGTCAGATGAGAGTCAAATGCGCTCAGGTGACCCTCCAGGAGGTAGCATCTCCTCTATGTTACGCAAGCATGACTCTGTGGCCCATCAGAGTTTATGTCAAAGCTCCATCAGTTGGGTATCACGGTGTGTGACATCGCTGTGCCGCTTGTCCTAAACTGAGATGGAGACCCTGGTCATGTGATGGTGGCTAAAACACCTGGAGGCTCTCACACTCTCTGGGTCATAAGAATGGATTGTCACAGCCTGTATATTTGTTTGAATTCTCCCCTCTCCCTAAATGCAGCCTCGGGGGAGGGTGGTGGTGGGGGGGAGTGTTAAGAAATGCTGTCAACTGGATGCATTTTACTGTTAGCTAATCGAAAGCTATATGTTGTGAAGCGCATATAAAACTGTGTGTGCGCCTGTGAATGTGTGGATGTGTGTATATAATCAAGTATGTGTGTGTGTGTGTGTGCATATGCATGTGTGTGCGTGTTTGTATAAGTGCATTTGTGTGTATTTATGCCTGCGCGCGCGCGCGTGTGCATGTGTGTGTGTGTCTACGCTTGTGCATGTGTGTGTGTCTGTGTGTGTTGTTTGTGTGTGTGTGTGTGTGTGTTTTATGTTTGTTGAGCAGTGAGAGTCCATTCCCTATATCCTTTTACAAGCGGAAAAAATCCAATAACCTTTTGTGTAAAACCTTTTCTTGCCCCTTCATTAAAACATCATTCCACGAAATATCATCATTCTACAAAAATCAACAATTATTACATTAAGGCCATCCATATGAAACACTGCAGCTCCATGAAAAATAAAAATAAAAACATAAGTTATGAGGCTCTTCTCAGGGTACATTGGCAAAACATAAAAAAGAGAGAAATTGCCATAATAAGTTATCTGATACCTGCTACAGTGGCGGGGCTGTGTTAAGTGCAGGCTTAATGAGAATAGATTCGCGAAGTTAGTCCTGGAGAGCCCAGGCGTACGGCTTTGCGGCACAGTTCATTACGCCTAGCTGAGGTGGGGAAAAGGAGCAATCCAACTTATTCGTCCTCTGTGCGCCTGGTTATTTACGACCAGGGAAACGCTGACAGAGATATCGAGTAAAATCCAGCAGCACTGTCATATAATAGTCCCAGCCTCTGGTATTTTGCATGAAATCACAAAAAAAGTCAAAATAACATCTGCTCAGTGACTTTTCCTTGTAAGATACTGCTCAAGTGCATGAAAGGGCTCCACTACCTGGTATCAGTGAACGCTCTGTTCCAGTGTGTGGATGGGCCCCATGGTCTGGTATCTGTTAAGGTTCTGTTCCAGTGTGTGGATGGGCCCCATGGTCTGGTATCTGTTAAGGCTCTGTTCCAGTGTGTGGATGGGCCCCATGGTCTGGCATCTGTTAAGGCTCTGTTCCAGTGTGTGGATGGGCCCCATGGTCTGGTATCTGTTAAGGC